TATTACTCGGATTTCGAGGTGAACAAAAAGGTGAGGGAATACACCCTCCTAACCCAAGGGGGTAACATGACGGTGAGGGAACTTGAGTACAAGTTCAGGGACCTTGCCGATTACATACCGGAGTATGCTTGTGATGAGAACCGGATGGTGAATCACTTCTGGGATGCTCTAGACTTGGAGATACGTGATAGGGCAACACAATTGCCTAACATGACGTTCGCCCAAGTGGTCGACCAAGGGTTGAAAGGGGAGAAACAGTGGGAGGAGAGGAAGAAGAGAGACGCCGAGGAGGCGAAAAAGAGAAAGTGGGAGAGTCATGGCTCCCAAGGTTCCAACAAAAAGGGGAACAATGGAGGAGGATCTTTCCGGGAACCACCGCCACCATCTAGGGGGAACCAAGGCCCAAGTGGGCAAGGCTCGAGGTCACAGGCCTCAGTGGTGACTCGTTGCAACAATTGCAAGAAGAACCACTCCGGTAAATGTCGCGACCCCCCTAGATGTTTCCAATGCGGGGATGCCGGACATTTGAAGGCGCATTGCCCACAATTGGGTGGGACCAGGACATCGGGACCGAGTAATGGCCCGACGGGTACACGGAATCAAACTGGGGCTTCTCAAGCAAGCCGGGGACACGGGAGAGCAAGTACGAGCAATGCGCCATCCGTGAATCAAGGAAGGACTCAAGCTAGAGTCTATGCGATGACGGAGGCGGATGCTCGAGTGAACTCGGATTCCATTGCAGGTATTTATCTCATTAAAGTGTGGTATTTTAGCCTTATTTAAGGTGTATAGGATTTAAGGGTTAAGGCCCGGCCATCGTAGGGGCAAGACCTGGCATTCCGACTCACGAAAACGAAGTAAAACCAAAGTACTCGCCCCGACCGGCGCCGGTCCGAGGCTAACCAGCGCCGGACATGCCCTGGGATGAGCCTGTGTCAGACCGGCTCTCTATAACCGGCGCTCCCGGCCTGCAAAACCACCCAACCGGCGCCGGACACCCACCAACCGGCGCCGGACCTTCGTTGGAAGTGGCCTGTGTGGAACCGGCCCATTTTAACCAGTGCAGCTGGGACGCTTGACCCAGACAACCGGCGCCGGTCAGGCCTGAACCGGCACCGGTCCGAAGCTGTTTTTGTTCGAAAATTTTTCGTATCAAAGCGGGACCCACCCCGTTTGAACGGTAAATGCACCCTAACCCTAAATAAAGTTTAGACATGTTAAGAATGGTGTCTTACATGGCTTATAAATGTAGGAACATTAAAGATTAATGGAAAGGATGCACGAATCCTTATCGATACCGGAGCGCAACGTTCATTCGTGAGTGAGGCGTTCACCGGGGACTTAGAGATTCAATCAATACCAATGACGCAAACTTTAGTGGTGTCAACACCACTAGGGGATGATATTGAAAGAACCCGTTACTATCCATCTTGTGAGGTGGAAATCGGTGGCCAAACCTTGACGTGTGATTTCGTACCGCTGAGTATGATGGAGTTCGATGCAATCCTAGGGATGGATTGGCTAGAAAAGCATCATGCTAGGGTAGATTGCTACACAAAGGTTTTGGAACTCGAAGGCAAAGGCCCCGGCTCTATCACTCGCGCCGCCGACCCGACCATAATCTGGGTCTTAAGGTACCCCGCCTCCCCGGCCTTTGTCTGTACCTCGAGGGCAGTAGTATCCAGATAAGAGTGTCCCTCGAGTATTCCAACTGGCTGCCCAGCGTCCACGACGACCTGTTTCTTCCTCGATGACCCCTCCGCATTCAGTTTCTTCTTGTTCTTTTCCTTCCAGGAGGAACCTTAAGAGGCTCCGGGTCAAGAGGTCGGAAGCTACTGGCTTCGCCAGCATTGCGAGGGGGCAAGACGACAACTGTTACCTCCTACCGCTCCTTCTCCCCTTCCTCCTTCGCGACCTGAAGAGCGAGAGTCATTTCTTCATCTTCTGCTACTTGTTCAAACTCCTCAGCCTCCGTCTCAGTCCCGAGGTTATCCTGGACCTATGCAGCCATAGCAGAATCATTGGGGGGCGAGGCCTGCTCACTCGAGGACTCCACGTCCGAGTAGCTCTCCTGTTGCACCGGAGGCTCCATCGATATGTCTTGAGAATCGCTTTCAGCAGACATCTTTAGCAAGTATAGATGAGAGAAAGTTTCGAGAGGAGAAGGAAAGTTTCCCTAAGAACTCCAACACTAGATCTAAGGGGATGGAAGCAAAATGTGCTAAAGAACTCAAGAATGGAGGAAGAATTGACCTCAGAAAATCGGTCTCGATCGAACTACACTTTCTCTCTCTAGAAACAAATTGCCAGAGCTTCGCTTCAACTCAAACGCACAAGCAAATGACTTAGGGCAAGGGGTATTTATAGGCTCCCCAACCGGCGTTAGCCTCGAAGCGTGGGCCTCTGGTTAAAAGCCCATCATTACGGGGCGCAGTTTCGACCAATGGGTGGCACCCGCCCGCTCTCAGCCAACAGACTCATGCCACGTGGACCCGCCACCAACGACTATATTCCCAAAGCCATAGTGCAACAATGTCTTCAGCTGACATCAGGAAGCTATGCCTTCGGCTTACTTCCCATTCCCTTCGAAATGGCCCTCCGGCAATCACGCATCAACTAAACATGAAGCCTACGGGTTATCAGATACTGCTACACCCTTCACCAACATATGCCCTCGGATAAACACCATGCAGCATAACTCCTTCAGTCCGAACTAGCCTTCGGCCTAAAGGAGGGTGACTGGGATACACCCCTCGGGGAAACACTGAATAAAATTCACATATTCAAAAAGCTACAAGCGACGATTGTTGCCTTTGGGTAAACAAGCATAAACTGTAGCCCCCGAATACACGTTGCCACACATACCCTTCGGGAAATACAAAAAATAAAAAGTCTCCTGCAAATCACCAACGAATGTACTGATGATGATAAAAGCACCCTTCGCACTAACCAAAAACTTCAGGAGCCCTCAGCCCTCAACATGTGGGGGACTGAGGGAATGCCCTCAGCAAACACCACAAAAACGAGTGATCAATGGGAGGGATCTCCCACAAATGAAAGCGCATTCGGCATAACCAACACAATTACTCCTTCCCACTCAAGTACCTTTCATCAAAAGGAGTGGGGGACTCCTGACGGAGTATATGGCCCAGGGACCCCCGACCCATAGACTTCTACTTCTCTTACACAGGCCCATCAACTTCTCCTACATAGAGCCCAAACATAGCGGCCCAAATACGAAGAAGCCCACAGTGCGCGTATAGGTGCCTTCGGTCCTACATCTGAGGGCTCCAAATTCCACATGGCAACTAGACTTGAGCATACAAAGTTTCTGGGAGAAAAAGATAGAAAATAGGAGCCTTCGGCTCCTAGGCGCCCTCGACACATGTGTAGCCTTCGGCCGCACAAGAGCCTTCGGCCACAGGATAGCCTTCGGCTACAAAACACTCAGTAAAGTTTCCTTTCAGAGACAAGCAACCATTGCATTCAATGCGGCGTCACATCCACCCACTGCATTTAATGCGGTGCACATGCGAATGCCGGTGCCACCCCGATTGAGGTGACCCTCGGCCGTTAGATGTCTGACACGTGTACTCACCTAGCATTTATGGCTGCTATAAATAGCAATCCTTTTCCTTTGTAAAGGATCCCAACATCTCGAGTTCATTTAATACATTTGTCTCTCTTTCTTACTTGTTTGCTCTGACTTCTCTCCAAGTTATTCCCTGCAATAACTCTTCGGATAAGTTGCCCCCGGGTACACTACCTATCATTCACTGATTTACATATTATGAGTACAAAACTAAATTTTGAAAAAAATGTTAAATTATTCTCATTTTAAATTTTTAAATTTGATTTTTGTAAGCTTCTTACTAATGAGGAATGAAATACTATCATATTTCATATGTTTGACACAACTAGTTGAAAAGATACATTCGTAAACTTTTTATTAAGTTTTAGTCTTTAGTGACTAAAAAAATAGTAAAAGAAAAATGTTGTAGCTGTTTGATAAGAAAATGATGGTTTGATTTAACTTTGTTTGCACAACAAGCTATTGTGACCTATTTTAGATAAAATCGTAAATAATATAATGCCAAGTATACAACTAGAAGTTTGTAGAATTATTTAAAATAGCATAAAAGCTACGGAGTAGAATTTAAGGTAGCATTATAATCAAATTTTTTAAATATTCTTCGTACAAAATAATGTTCAAACTTTTATATTGACAAAAAATAAAAATTGGACAATTACAACAACGCAACTTAAATTAACACAAAAATGATGTTTGTACTCATTATCATTTTTATACCCACCATGTCTGTGACATACTCTTTTTATTTATGAATTGTTCACAGATAAAAAAATATCTTCACGAAAGTGAATATACGGGCGAGTAAAACACTTCTAAAATTAATACTCCGTAAAATTATAGGTAGCATATCTAGAGCCCGTTTGGTAGCACGAAAATTAGCTGTTTTGGTTGATTCTGCTGAAATTTATGATGTTCTGGCTGAATTGGCTGCAATGACTGATTCCGCTAGTTTAAGAAAAAAGTATCTTTAAAATATAATTTGTTAATAAAATAAAGAAAAATTATATGTAAAAATAGCTAAAATGATCATCTACAGTAACTTCAGCCAATACAGCCGGAAGAGTAACTCTAACCTTACTTTTTATGCTTATTACACAATTCAACCCGTAAAAGAAAAAATTACATGTTTAGTGAAAAAGTTAGCTAATAAATCTGATAAGCCGAAAAAGTTAGCTAATAAATCTGATAAGCCGAAAAAGAGTATCTGCCAAACGACCTCCTAAAAAGTTACGAGTAGATCAAAGTTACATTTTTTAAGATATTGAGAACGTGTCCTTAGCAGGTGAGCCATTTTGGTACGGAGTAAAATTTCCTTTAATTATGCAATTTCAACCAGATTTACCCTAACCTTTTCTAAATCAATCGTTTAATAAACACTCCGTAATAAAGAGAAATAGACAAAACCCATGAACAGCGCACCTTCTCTCACAGAACACAGTAGCAGCGTATAAACACTGGCGCCTCGATTTTTGAGCTAAGCTTTTAACTCTCCTCTCCCTCCCCACCCCTTTCTCTTTTTACCCACTATCACCATTCCCACCTTCCCCCTCAACCCACCTTGGGTTTTTTCCAGTATATATTCTGGAAAAGAAGTCTTTCTCAGTGGATTTCGTCTCTTCTCTCTTCTAATTCTGCTAGCCTAGCCTACTTGTACTTATATATATGTGTGTAGAACTAGCAAGGAGAGAATAGAGGAAATTGTCAATCTTTTTTGTTTCTTTGTAACTTCTACTAAAGCTTCATCCTTTGCCATCAAATGTCAAAAGTGAATATTAACTCCGGGTTTCCAAAGTTGGCTCCTTCTCGATAAATTTCTCGAGCTCAACTGGTTTGGTAATTCTTAGCGAGACAAAGAAGTATTTTTTCTGTTTTTCAAGAAACTCCAGTGACGTCTATGTGTGTGGGAGTTTGTAGTTAAACAGAGAGGAGGTAAAAAAAACGGTGAAACATTTTAGCATTTTGCGGTGGCATGAGTGATGTGTTTTCCCCCCTTGGTCACGAGTTGTTTACAGCTGCTTTTATGAAGGGTGGTTTTATCTTGTGAAAGAAAACAGTCATTTTTGTCATCATATGGATGGAGAGAGACAATTTGGTTGCAATGCTTTACTTAAGCAGTTTTGGCTGTACCCTCAGTTGTAAGGTAAGCGTGAAGTGTGTTTTTGAGCCTTCTCAATAAAATAAAGACCCAAAGAGAATCTTCTGGTTCAATCAAGATCTCCTCTTTAATCTGTCTGAGGCTACAAGAAAGTAGAAAAGACAGAACCCAGAAAAAGATAAGTTCTTGAGAGAGGGTTCAGAGAATCTTGGTTTCTTTGTGTTCAACAAACAAAACCAGTTGCAGAGAATATCTTTCTGGTCTAACTCTTTGAAGAAAGGCTTGAAAAAAAAAAGAACAAACAATGGCTTTGGTAGCAGCTCAACAGCATCACAGGGAGAGTAGCAGTGGGAGCATTGACAAACACATTGATTCCGGCAAGTATGTCCGGTACACGGCGGAGCAGGTGGAGGCTCTCGAAAGGGTTTATGCTGAATGTCCGAAACCTAGTTCTCTCCGCCGGCAGCAGTTGATCCGGGAATGCCCCATTCTGGCTAACATTGAGCCTAGACAGATCAAAGTCTGGTTTCAGAACCGCAGGTGAACTCATAAATTGACGTCCGGTTTAGTCTTCCTTGCTAATTTTATTACTCATTTTCAAAATTGTTGCTTAAATTTCTAAGTTCATACTGTAATTTGATTGGGTATATTATTATTTTTCCATAAATGAAGCTTGATTTGTCCTTTTGTTGTTGTTTTTACACTGTTTAAAGAATTAATAAAACGGAACAACTTCGCCGTCCATTGTTGACCTTAATGTCAACAAATCTTGAAAAAACAGTTCAATGTTTTCTTGCACAAATCTGAAAAATGCGTGTTTTATGGCCATTTGGTATGCAATTCTGAATTGATTGTTGACCAAAGAATTATTGTTGTATGATAATACTCTGTATGTAATTATTTTAGTTTACTATTTTCAGTATAACTTTGTCATTTAAATTTTCTTAACCTTTATAGAAGCCTCTTTCTTAAAGTATTAAAAAGACATTTTTTTAATGAGTCCATGTGCACACCATAAGTCTGATTTAATGTGTTATTTGCATCCTCCGGATACATAATTATGAGCTCCTAACGCTCTTATTCTCTTAACATTTATATCTTCAGAATCATTACAACAGTATGAACTTAAAAGGAACTTATAGCAAAGTTTTAAAATATGCTAGTGAGGGCACACTAGGTTAGCCCAAATGAATTAAGTTAAAAAATGGTAATTTTTTTAATAGCGGTTATATCAAGAATGATAGTTGAACTTGGAAGTGAAGAAGAAAGTTCCTATCCTGTTGCAGGTGTAGAGAAAAGCAAAGAAAAGAGGCTTCTGGCCTCCAGGCTGTGAACAGAAAGCTAAGTGCAATGAACAAACTGTTGATGGAAGAAAACGACCGGTTACAGAAACAAGTTTCACAGCTTGTTTGTGAGAATGGCTTTATGCGCCAACAATTGCATACTGTATGTGCTCTTCTCTTGTTTCAATTAATGCTTTAGGCTGTATTAAGTGCAGTTAGACAGTGCCTACATAGATTAGCTCATTTGGTTGGGATTGCTCCAACAATGACTTTATTTATTTGGTGCTATTTTATCCAGGTACCGACACCTACAGATGCAAGTAGTGAATCAGCAGTGACAACCTCCCAGCATTCGCGAAAAGATGCTACCAATCCTGCAGGGTAACTCATTTTTTTTGTCACAAAATTTTGTTTTGTTGGAGGACTTTTGAGGTGGGGAAATGGGTGTTGTGTATATATATATATATATATATATATATATATATATTTGTCACAAGCTATTGCCCACTTCTAGCTTCTTTAAAAGACCATCTCCCAGCCCACTTACAGATTACCGTTCACTATTTTGAGGTCAACGTAAATTGTTCTTAATCTTTTACTTATATATCCAACTTTTATTAGATTTTATTTTTATTTTTGCGACATTATAAAAAATTTTATGTAGATTTTGAAAATGTGAATTTTGTTTACTAAAAATAGTCTTATTAATGATAGGGATCAATCAACTTTATAGCTAGTCAAACATTGTAAACCATGTTGGAACCTTTAAGTGGGAAGGAGGGAGTAATAGAAATCAGAAAGTTTTACAGCAATGTGTGAATTAAAATAACATATACCACAATAAGTTTTTAAAGTCTAAATCTAATACATAAAAATAAATATTCTAAAAATATGAAGGCCTCCACCTAAATAAGTCGTAGTGATGTAGGATATGCCTAAGTTGTGTTTCGATGCTGTGATTTGGTTAGTAACATTTTTATCAGTTCATCGTCTAAATGTGAATTACAGTGAATGACCTAAAGCCTTTTCTTGTCTTATTTTTGCAGACTTCTCTCAATTGCTGAAGAAACCTTGGCTGAGTTCCTCTCAAAGGCTAAAGGAACAGCTGTTGATTGGGTGCAGATGCCTGGGATGAAGGTTTGATTTTCTATATCCTTTAAGGATCTGTTTGGAATTCTGAAACTACTGGGAAAGAACACAGATGAAAACAGATGATATTTTTAAAACTTTTATTTGTTCATATATACTATATTATTTCTAAATCCTAAATACATGTAAAAGCAGTTATGACAATGGACTTGTTTATTTCATTTTACTGTTCCAAAACTGAAACTGTACAACTTAAAACTATTAATTTCCTTCTGTTTTTCCTTAATGCTACAGCAGTTTCCATGAACCAAATGTCCTCTATAGAATGCTTTATTAGGCTATCATTCCTCTATCTTTCTTAAACTGAAATGCTAACCATCTAAGTTATGAATTCCGTGTTGCCAGCCTGGTCCGGATTCGGTTGGGATCTTTGCCATCTCACCTAGGTGCAGTGGAGTGGCAGCACGAGCATGTGGTCTTGTTAGTTTAGAGCCTTCCAAGGTATGCTTTTTTGCAAGTTATATGTAAGCCCCTCATTGGTTTCTTTCACTAACCTCTTGAAAATATCACAGATTGCTGAGATCCTGAAGGATCGTTCATGTTGGTTTCGTGACTGTCGCAGTGTTGAAGTTTTTACTATGATTCCAGCTGGAAATGGAGGGACAATTGAGCTTCTATACACTCAGGTGAAACAACTACCTTAAGCATTCTGATTCATGTAGGGTCTCTTTACACTTGTAGAGACATCAGGAAATATGATAGCCAAAAGAAACATGGAGAGAAATTTGGTTAAAGAGGAGAGTCGCAATCTGAATGATTTATTTCTCTTATACAAAGGCTAACCGAGCAAATCATGAGATATTTGTATAATATTACTATAACAGAACACATTGCCAAATATGTGACTTCAGTGTTGGTACAGCCATTGAGAAAAATACCACTACAATCATTGACTAGTAAATTAGAACATCATCGTGGTCATTGTATCACCATGCTCATTGCGCAATGACGATCTTATTTTGGTTCATTATTTCTCAAAACATATTAAGAACTCTAATGCTAGGAATCAAAATTCATTATCTTTTGAATTTTCCAAGATTTAGCCGAACACAAGATTTCAAAAAGTGATCTTGTCTTTCCATAATTCACCATTGGCATTTTTCTTGATCTAAAGTCTAAACATACACGTAAGCAATTGATGAAAATATATACTAAATTGGATGGCGAATGGCTTTCCTTTAAATCTTTCGCAGATATATGCTCCAACAACATTGGCTGCAGCCCGTGACTTTTGGACTCTAAGATACACAACCACCTTGGAGAATGGTAGTCTTGTGGTATGTAATATAAAGTGAACTTAACTGTTTAAAACTCCTTTAGCTTTGTTCATGTATAATGTTGATATGGCTTCTCAGATTTGCGAAAGATCGCTTTCGGGTACGGGGGCGGGCCCTAATGCCACCTCAGCTTCTCAGTTTGTCAGAGCTGAAATTCTTCCTTCTGGATACCTTATTTGCCCATGTGATGGTGGTGGATCAATTATACACATTGTTGACCACCTTAATCTTGAGGTCAGGTGTCAAATTACAAACTTGTCCTTTGCCAAGTATTATTCTATCAATTAAAGATGTTTGTTCTGTTTACTGAGACTGAAATTATTCATCAGGCGTGGAGTGTGCCAGAAGTATTACGCCCCCTTTATGAATCCTCAAAAGTTGTTGCACAGAAGATGACTGTTGCAGTAAGTTTGCGTTAAAAGTTCTTTCAGCCCCGTGAAACTCCAAGCCTTTCTGTTTAAATTGAGTGAGCATTTAAGTTTTGATTAGGAATTAGATTAATGGGTGTTAAAATGGAACAGCAGGGATCTGTTATTTGTTGTTCTTATTCATTTAAAACAATGAAATGTCATTATGCTATCCCACTAAATTTTCCTAAAGTTCTAGATATGAATACTATTTTAGAATAATTTTAACATCACAGTCCTTTACTTATTACCATGAATATTCATAATTTTTAACCGAAGATCATAAAACAAAATGTAAGAGCTCCTGTTATCATTACCCCATCCATAAATACCACCCTTATACAAATTATGATATCCAAACATTTATTATTAGTAATATTATAATGGGAAAATAACTTTAAATAATACAAAGTTACCAACTATCTTCCATCAACTAAGAATAATAAGCACTTTGGAAATAACTTGTAATAATACCAACTATTTAAATATAGACCAAAAGTGATTTAAAGCCTTTTTTCACTAAAAATTTAGTCATTTAATTCACCAAAAAATAATATTAAAATATCAAATAAGTGACTGTATTTTCAAATATCATATATATGATGGTTTGCAATTAGTTTTCGATGTCTTAAATGACAACATTTCTTAAATGAGCGATAGTTTGTACTCCCTCCGTTCTCTGATAGATGAGAGTATAGCCTTTGGCACAAATTTTAAGAAGGAATTAATAGGGGTAAGATAAAATGTGTAGTGGGTTGTATTTAAATGAAAAAGTAGGAAAGAGAATGAGGGTATAAAGGTATATTTATTGATAAAACTTTCTAAAAAAGAAAAGGGAGACAAGTATTAGAGAACATCCCAAAATGGAAAGAGGGACAAGTATTAGAGAATGGAGGGAGTATTATTTAAAGTTATTTTCCCTATTATTATTAGAAGTATTATATATGCTCCCTCTTTGCCATTTTTTTCACCTTGTAAATTGTGTAACATAAATTTAATTTTTGTGTATTAAGGCACTACGGTATATCAGGCAAATCGCTCAAGAAACCAGTGGTGAGGTGGTATACAGCCCGGGAAGGCAACCCGCTGTACTCCGAACATTTAGCCAGAAATTAAGCAGGTCTGTTATAAATAATATCTCTGTAATTCATGTATACTTTAACTAGTGTCCATTATAAGATGTTTGTTTGTTTTGTTATATGATCTACTTCTTCTGCAGAGGCTTCAATGATGCTATCAATGGATTCAATGATGATGGTTGGACTGTATTGAGCTGTGATGTTTCTGAAGATGTTACTATTGCCATTAATTCAACAAAGACTGTGGGGTCTGCTTCGATTACACATCAAACGCTTGGTGGCATTTTATGTGCAAAGGCATCTATGCTACTCCAGGTAACTTGTCAACCAATTGAAGATGGTATCCATCCAATAATATCATCACTTTGGGGAAAATATTTGACTAATGTTTTAATTATCAGAATGTTCCTCCTGCTGTGCTTGTTCGTTTCTTGAGGGAACATCGGTCGGAGTGGGCGGACTTCAACGTTGATGCCTATTTTGCTGCTGCTTTAAAATCTAACTCTTATTCATATCAAGGAGTCAGGCCTGCGAGGTTTACTGGAAATCAGATTATCATGCCACTTGGTCAAACTATTGAACATGAAGAGGTGTGGTTGTTTAATGTGCTTCTTTCTTTCCTGAAAAGATTCCACCTATGCTCCCAAGATAACTATTTCATTTCAACTTTTTGTCAACTTTCATTTTTTTTTAATTTGGGTCTCATAAATATAGATATTTTGCCCCTTATATTTTCCCTCTGAACGCTTATCCTGTCAATGCTTCGTTGAATTTTTGGTGGATAACTTGGTGGGGAGGACTAATAGTGGCTAAAAGTCATAGTCAAACACCAAAGTGGGAAAAGTGGGAATGACATTATTATAGTCACATCTCACATGGTCCAAAAATGATTTATTTAGTATTTTTACATCAAGAGTGGTGTTTCTTGGCTTTGTATCAGATTGCATAAGTGCTTTTTATAATCAGAAGTGAATCTGTAAATGAGAAATAGATGATTGATGGGCAAATGGTAAAGTGATCTTTAGTCTTTACACTATAAAAAGAAGACAAACTATTGATGCTTATTTGTGTGGGAAAAGGTTTAAATAAGCCCTTGTACAATCCATCACTTGAGCTACTTACAAGAGTATGACATTGGTGCGTTTACTTTGAAATTGCAATCAATCCAACAATTTTGTCCTGCCATAGCAGTTTATTTTTAAACAAAATTTCTTCAGAACATTTATAAATTAAAAAGACATATGAATTGTAAATAGTGTAGACAAAGAAATACGGAGTGTGAAAAATAGTAAAATGCCAAAGTAATAATACAATTTAAAAAACGTGAAAATAAAAAAATTGGAAATAAAAATTCATAAATAAATGAAAATATAAAGAAATATATAAAATTAAATAGTAATTAAAAAGATGCAGATATACTAATAATTTCAAAAACACAAAACAAACACAAAACAAAGATGCAGATATACTAATAATTCTGAATTTAATAATTTTTAGTTTTTTCCGAACAAAACTTGCCATAACAAGTCAGATTGTCAGAAACTGGTTAAATAGTTGGATTGATTAGTTTTTAGCAGTAAGCGGACTTGCATGATACTCTAAGTAGAGGGACTTGGATTGAAAAGAGTTGATGGATCAATCTTAACCTAATCATTATTTATGCAAACTTCATTTTAGAAAAAGAACTTCAAATGCATAATGAGAAAAGTTATCCAAGTTATTAACCTACTTTCACTATTATTACAACATTTGACTCTGCTGACAGATGCTCGAAGTGATCAGGCTTGAAGGACATCCCCTTGACAATGAAGATATTTTTTTGTCAAGAGACATGTCAAGAGACATTCACCTTTTGCAGGTTCTTTTTACCCCTTTTATCCCTAAAGAAACAAATAAACTAGCAGTATGTTTTCAAGTTTGAAGCAATCACTAACTATTAGTTTTCATTTTCAGATGTGCACTGGAATTGATGAGAATGCAGTGGGTGCGTGCTCAGAACTTGTTTTTGCCCCAATTGATGAAATGTTCCCTGATGATGCTATCTTAATACCTTCTGGCTTTCGCATCATTCCTTTGGAATCAAAATCAGTTAAGTCAGTTTAACAACTTTTCCCCTTATTTCTTTTTTACAAATTTATTTCCAGTTATTGTTAATCTAGCTTATTGTTGAGGTATATAGTTTATTGTTATACATTGGGTTCCAATCTTGTTTTTAGATTTTATCCCTGAAAATTTGACATTACACCTAATGTAGCTATGTCGTTTGATTTAACAAAAAAGGTTTACCAGAAATGTTATAAAAAGAAAACTCATGGACAAAAGTAAGATTACATGGGTCAGGATGCAGTTACTTGAAAACCATACTTGAAAAGTCAGTATGTTCTAAAACTTATACTTTTTTCATTTTTTAGAAAGATCTTAGGTAAATAACAAAATTTAATATTTGAATGGTCATGGTGTTGCCAGAGTCTTTACCTGGAATGGAGATAGTATGCACTAGGTACTAAATATTCTTCATTAAAAATGGATTTCTAATTCTCTTGCATTTTCTTTCTAATTTTTTTAATAATTTGCTAATACTTGTGATTTACCTAGAATGATGTGCAGGACACACTGATGGCGCAAAGGACACTGGATTTAACTTCAAGTCTTGAAGTTGGCCTGCCAACAAGTCATTCTTCTGTTAGCAATGTCTCCCCTTCCTGTTACGCGCGTTCTGTCTTGACCATTGCTTTCCAGTTCCCATTTGAGAACAATCTACAGAACAACATTGCTATTACAGCTAGACAATATGTTCGAAGTGTGATCTCATCCGTTCAAAGGGTTGCGATGGCAATATCACCAACAGCGTCTGGTCCTTGTGTTGGTCCAAAGTTGTCCCCTAGCAGCTGTCCAGATGCTCTTCCATTGGCTCAGTGGATCTGCCAGAGCTATAGGTTTTCCCACTTTTACCTTCTTATTACGCCTGAAATAAATTTTGGCTGCCGTAATAGGGTTCGTTTCGAACTCACAAAAATGAAATTACAGAGAATGAAAGGGAAGGTTTTGGGGATATTAAAAGCCAATTCCATTCAGTGACTTTACGTTTGAGATTTTGTTTTAATCTCATTATTTAATGGTTTCTTTTATTAATGCCTAAAAGTTTTAAAGCACAACTTGGTTTTCATTTTCTTTTTTTGCCTTTTGTGTGGTATGGTTGAAGTCAAGAAAATAATTAACTTAACATTCTTTTTTGCTAGCATGATATTTTCCATGATCTTGTACCTGATTTCTTAACCTGGGCAAACTGAATACGTGAAGACAATGAAGAGTAAAATGAGGAGATGAAATTGGTTGGAAAAAAGAATAAGCTCAAACTCAATTTTTTTCTTTTATATTATCATTTATTTATTGCTATGTAATTTTTGTAAACATTGAAGTATTTAAAATGTATGCTTTTTCCCAACAAGATATTCATATCCTTTTTTTAATCCAAAGGCAAAACCGTAAAAATAATGTTCGAAGGCATTTTAGTTTAGCTCGCAAGTAGTTTCAGGAATCACGTATATGATCCAAATACACCCCAGATTTAAATTTGTTCTTTGTTTGCAGTTACCACACTGGAACAGAACTGTTTGGTTATGGTTCTGTGGGTGGTGAATCAGTGCTTAAAAATCTCTGGAACCATCATGATGCTATTTTATGCTGCTCTATAAAGGTGTGTCCATTCTTGTTAATCATGCTCTTTGTTCTATAACCAAAAAGGGAAAATCTGGATAAAATGAAAAATAGTTTCAACTCAAGAAATCAATTTTAGATCTTTCTTGGGACTCATTATATCCACACATCTCAGTTCATTAGTTTTATAAAATTATTTATCAAATGAATCAAAAACTGTTTTCCTTTTCATTTTATAGCCTCCGTCCTGAGTTTTTTATGCACACGTATATATGCTAAACATAACCAAAGTGCGTTCTCTTTGCTTTGATAAGGGTTGAACTTTGTCCTTTGAAATTCTACTCAGCAATTCTAAATAACTTTGTTTTGCAGTCTGCGCCGGGCTTCATCTTTGCTAACAAGGCTGGACTGGACATGTTGGAGACGACATTACTGGGGTTGCAAGAAATTGCATTGGATAACATTTTTGATGAACGCGGGCGTAAAGTGTTCTTTACCGAGCTCTCAAAAATCATGCAGCAGGTAACAGTAATCTACATAGCTCAGTGGACACATTAATTCTTTATACTAGAATACTAACTCCATCCCAGTAAGATGGCTATTAAGAAAGTTGAATTTATATGATTAGTTTGAATAGATAAACTGAGAATGAATTAAAACACCACACAAAATTGCCAAATATGGTATCAGACGAACTTAGTCAGATGAACAAAAACAGTGGAATAGGGAGTACTATAATACCACGAAGTGATATAACTTTGAATTTCCTAATGTTCAGGGATATGCATACCTGCCTGGTGGAGTTTGCATGTCAGCAATGGGTCGCCATGTGTCGTACGAACAGGCGATTGCATGGAAAGTGCTCTTGGCGGATGAAAACACTGTCCACTGCTTGGCGTTCTCTTTTATGAATTGGTCTTTTGTATAAGGGTGTCCCCGTCCCTTTTGAACGGGTCGGGCATCGGGTTATTAGAACAGTGAATATCAGCTTTGACTAGGAGGTTTTGTAATGTCAAATAGTAATCCCAGACAAGGTCTTGTTAGGAGGATGGTTGTTGTATGCATCAGGTAATTTTTTTGTTCTTTCCATTGTAAATCCTGACAGTGGCCTTTGCAGTTGAATGAGTTGATGGTTTAGAGAGTTAATTTAGCCATATAGCGACTGCCAAATTTCAAAATGCTGAATCGTTTCTAAAGATATATAAATAAGATCATCTCCAATGCTATAATGTGCACGGTGCACATGTGGTATGAGTGATAGTCACATAAATATTAGCATACAAATTATTTATCTCTTTATTTGAATGATTTTATACAATTTTGGTAAGTTTTTCCCTGCAATATCAACAACAATGTCAACATCTAGACGATCTTCTTGACATTGTGGAGAAAAACTTACTAAAAATGTATAAAATCATTCAAATAAGGAGAGAAAGAATTTATTTACTAATATTTATGTGGTCATTTCTCATGTCACGTGTGCACCGTGCACATTTTATCATTGGAGATGCTCTAATGAGTTGTAATATTTAAATCAAATAATGTCAAACAAACTCAAATCTACTATCAAATTTAATAAATAAATAAATGATGTTTTTTGTTGTTTAATTATTATAACTACCTCCCACTATGTTTAGGAAAAAGGAGTGACACAACTTTTAAGAAAAAGTGGAATTTTGTGGTTTGTATTGAATTGATAAAGTGAATAAAGTAAAAATGAATTGTAACCATCCAAATATTACTAAATATGGTATGAGACAAATTTAATGAGATAGACGAAAAGGTAAAACAAATCAAAGTTGAGACGGAGGAAGTACTTCTGCATATGCATTGAATCAAATAAGAAAGAATCAAACTCGACCATAGTGATTAGATGAGTAAGGATGTTTTCTTTTGGACTATTTTCAGTCCCAAATCAGATTAGACTAGACCAGATCAACAAATTTCAGTCCAAAAGAAAACATCCTAAAGAGTATTTGTACAATATCTATTTAAGCTAACAAAATTCATCAAATGAGATCATATTTAATAGTACTAGACTTGTATTTTTCTTGATAACATTAAGACAATTGATCGAATAGATAGGAACCTTACATGAAAGACACTAGGGCTGGACTCGGTTCGGGCCGGGCCCGGGTCGGGCCTCCGATCCTATAAAGGGGGCCCCGGAACCGGCCCGTCCTTCGCCCGGTTCCGGTTCGGGCCGGGTCACCAGCTGGGCCCCGGGCCGGGCCACCCGCCGGGTCGGGCCTAGTTTAATTTTTTTTTATCTTTTTAATACAACTTAAATATGAAATACATTTTTCAAAAAATACTAATACAATAAATTCTAAGTTGTAAGTTGTAAGTTTGTAACCAATTAATTAATTAATTAATTTGAGAAAAAGGAGTGTGACACAACTTTTAAGAAAAAGTGGAATTTTGTGGTTTGTATTGAATTGATAAAGTGAATAAAGTAAGAATGAATTATAATCATCCAAATATTACCAAATATGATATGAGACAAACTTAATGAGATAGATGAAAAGGTAAAACAAATCAAAGTTAAGACGGAGGAAGTACTTCTGGCATATGCATTGAATCAAATGCATAGTGATAAGACGGAGGAAGTACTTCTGGCATATGTTCGAGAAAGAATCAAACTCGACCATAGTGATTAGATTGAGTAAGGATGTTTTCTTTTGTACTGTTTTCAGTCCCAAACTAGATCAGATTAGACCAGACCAGACCAGACAAGATCAGCAAATTTCAGTCCAAAAGAAAACATCCTAAAAAGTATTTGTACAGTATCTATTTAAGCTAACAAAATTCATCAAATGAGATCATATTTAATAGTACTAGACTTGTATTTTTCTTGATAACATTAACACAATTAATCGAATAGATAGGAACCTTACATGAAAGACACATGCGATCTAGATCCTTCAAAGCCCCATATTCTTTCTACCTTGGGCTATGCTTGGGAGTTGGCATCCCTGTTCAGCTCAAAAGGGCTGATTTTATTTATTTATTTATTTATTTATTTATTTATTTTATTTATTTATTTATTTATTTATTTATTTATTTATTTATTTATTTATTTATTTATTTATTTATTTATTTATTTATTTATTTATTTATTTATTTATTTATTTATTTATTTATTTATTTATTTAATTTCAGTCAATTTTGATTAAAGTCCTCATATGTTGAAAGATATTGTAAAAGAATATTGGCGAAATTGACAATTTTGATTTTATTTATTTATTTAATTCTTACTTTTACATATTTTACCAAAATAATTTCTAGTGAAAAGCCACAACAATAATGCCAACTAGTCAACTGTTTCACAACAATAAATAAAGTGTTAATGGTAGTAGTTTTCAAGTTAATTTTTTAATTTTAAATATATCAAAGCGAAAATATATATAAGCATTTTTTTTTACAGCAAATATATATAAGCATTAACCATATTATATTTGAGTTTAATTTTATTTCTACTGTAAGTTTGATTTAATATTCAATATTTGTCATAAAATACAATTGAAATATTTGAACAATATATATACTCATCAAGTTTTCTACTATCTGTTATTAAATCATTTTTTACATTTAAATCTGTATTTTGTTATGATTGGAGTTCATTTGTAATCCTGAGTTAAATTATATTTAATTGCAGTTTCATGTAGGTGATGTTGGTGCAGATTGTATGGAGTCTTTTCCCTTTATTTAATTTGTATTAGTTAATTTGGTTGGACTTGAAGATGGAGTATTATTGTGAAAACTTGAAATTTAGTCCTGAAAGTGGATGCCGGTGATCACTTTTCCAATTCCCCCGAAAAGTCTATTTACCAATAAAAAAAGTCCTCAATCCGTACAAATTTATTAGTTGCACATCCAAATTTGCAAATGAGTAAAGTTAAAAGACTAATAGCAAATGTCACCCAAAAGTTACGAGACTAAAATAATATATGTCCATCTTTGTTCCAGTTTTAAACTTAGTTTCAATTTACTTTTCTTGGTTAATATATTATCATTTTACACTTTATTTTACATATTGATTTATAATCATTTTATTCTCTAATTTTGATTGTTGATTTGTAATCACTCTAGATACGTGATCATTTGTGTTTCAATAGAATTTTAGTATATCTTGTAGATATATAATTTTTGCAAAACGAATAGAAAAGGATTAATTTTATAAATCGTTTCTATAAAACAAATTGGGATAAATGGAGTACATTATTGTTAGTTCTTGTAGTAATGCATGCTTAAAGAATAATAAAAGTGTAATGTATGAATTTTTTATTGTGAATATTTTGACGATATTCATATTATATGCATATGAAGTTTTGGTTATCATACTTTCATAATGTCTTTCTCGCGGTATAAACTAAGTGTGTTGATGCATATAATTAAGGTGTATTTGAAACATAATTTATAATATGATTTAATGCACAATCCACTTAATAATTAAGCACATTATGTAAATGTTACAAATTAATTAATTTTGTAATGTACACGTATGAATTATTCTTATTTGGTATGATTTAAAAGTAATGTTAACATTTATTGTTTGAAATCAATAAGAGAGTGACACATTTGCAATTCATGACTCAAATATACAATATAGAACAATGGATATACATCTATTTAATACTGTAAAACAACAAGAACATGAACAATTTATGTATATAAACAGCTTTGTCAGTACAGTTTGTCAAATTGAGGGGAGGACAAACCCCAATTCCTATCTAGGCTTGTCAATGACTCTAAGTTTCGACTTAAAACAAATATATAGGTTTACATTTAATTTCAATATATTTGAACCGAATTCAGACACATTACATATTTAGATAAATGAACTAGACATGACAAATGTTATTATGACACGTTTAGAGCATCCACAATGTTAGGATTTATAGTCTAAATTAGCATTGCCAAATGTGAAGTTACTAAAAAGGCTTCAATACACATGTTATGTAGTGTAGTGAGTAGACGCGGACATACAAATGGAGCCTCTAGTGCAAAACGTCCAAGGCCCAATTTATGACTACGTAATTTATACGAAGTCATATATGTTTTGCTTCTTCATGCGATCAAGGAGAAAATAGGGATTTTTTTCTTCTAATTCCTATGATTGAGAAGTGGCAATTTGTGTGCATAGAGTTCAAGCTCAGCGGCAACACACACCTGTTCCGCAAGAGAAAGGGAAACAAATCCATAGAGTTCGACCATAACTCTTGGAATCGGCTTCTTTCTTCCCTAAAACAGAGGAAATTAAAATTTGACATGTGCCACATTCTTGAATAGTTAAAAGCCAACCTTCGAACGTACAAAGTTAACTCCAATCTTCAACAATTTGGAAAAAGTAATATTATAAAAATTTGATGTCGTGCAATTTTATCGGATAAAATTTAATGAATCGGCCTGTGGAGAAGTCTTTACATTCACACAGGTCCCTTCACAGTGTCGAACATTTTTTTTGGCCAACTCAGCAAAATGAAATTAAGGACTAGATGCATTGGAATGCATATTAAATGCACAACGTCTACTTTGATGAGGTAGCTTAATATTTCTTAGACTAGACTAGGGGTGGACTCGGGCCGGGCGGCCCGACCCGAAACCGGCCCGGCCCGGTCACTGTTTGAACCGGACCGAACCGGTGGCCCGGCCCAGGGGCGGTTCGGGTCGACCCGGACCGGTGGGGTTCGGTTCCGGGCTCGGGCCCTCCATTTGGTGAACCGGCCCGGCCGGTTCGGGCCCGGTCCGGGCCGAATTTATTTTTTTTTTGAATTTTTTTTTTAAGTTTTTGGGTTGGGCTGGGTATTTTGGGCCATTTGAGGTGGTTTGGGGTGGTTTGGGGGTGAGGGGGTGGGTTGGGGGTTAAATAGGAGAAGCCCAAAAAAAAAACCCGAGTGGCCCGGCCCGGCCCGGCCCGGCCCGGAACCGGACCCGGAACCGGTGGCTACCGGTTCGGGCTCGGGCCCAACAAAACAAAACCGAGGCCCGGCCGGGCCCAGGCCCGAACCGGGCCCGAACCGGCCCGAGTCCACCCCTCGACTAGACAGTCCGCATTGCGGATGCTCTTAGGATCCGATCAATGTACAAATCTCTATTTAATAAAAGTTATACATGCAAAAATACATATACACATACATACATACATACACCAAAATAAAGATGTTATTATTGAACAGAAGGATTACAAACACAAATGACTGTAAAGAGTAATTTGAAAGAGGTTATTTGGACAACCGTTATTAAGACATCATCTTTCATCTTTCCTGGAGAACGATTTTGGTGGGTTGAGCCATGGCAACATGGCGTTCCTTATATAGATATTGCTAAGTTTGCTAAGTTTTGTTTGAACTTTGAAGTATTTGATTGAGGTCTAGTCCAACGAGTACAATTTATTTATCGTATAAATTAATACTAAGTAGTAGTTATCAAGTCCTAATTATATGAGACTCAATTTAGATGGTCTATGTGATCCATTTTTGAAACCGTCTAGATCTGAAACAACTATTCAAGTCCGAGTCTAGAACACTATATTCCGACCTGAATCCAACGCATTGACAAATGTATTCTAGAACCATTCATTTTATGATTTCCAGAGGCAATCACCGGTACCGTATACTCGAGTACGCCTCAGCTTACAGTCCCAGTCCCATTCTAGTTTTGAATATCGGTTTCTGTCGAGTTTAACATACCGGGACTGAAAGCTAGAACCAACTTGGTCTGATCTCAGAAGAATGGGAGACATTCTTGGGTTGGGCCAGTTTAGTGCGGTCAGGATTAATGCGGTCATGGTCTGCACAATTTACATGCTTGGTTTGAAATCCGGAACCACTCTGGCCAAATTGGCCGTTTTTGCATCTTTTTCAGTTCAACTCAGGGGTTTTGAATTACAGTACTCACGAATCATCTGTCTGAAAATCTGAAATCCACTTCTTGGTTTAATGGGTCTAACCACCCGGTCTGCTTTTCAGAAGCATGCAAAAGAACAAGCCAAATCCCTATCTAGGTGTTAGACTTTTCTTAGTTACAGAGGCCAAGACAGCGGATAACCCAATGGCTGCCCCGTCTCAAAAGAGACAACGGGTCTACCACGAGTGAACAGATATTCCTTGAACCAACCCTTCCATATCACGTTTTTAAGAAGAATGCTGACTACTCTCACGATCCCTATCAATGAATCTGTGTTTAGAATGTTAGATAACCATTTAAGTCAAGATTATCGGCTAAAACCCAATGGAGAATAGTTTGAAAAGAAAACTGAACATCTGAAGCAAAGGTAGCATTCAACAAAACCAATCACCAAAACTGTAAGACCAATTACACATTGTATATCACAATGATCTATAGAAGCTCTGCTATAACTTGAAGGGTATGACATTCAGCATAATGATAAAAATATAAAACAAAAATCCCAAGCTTGTACATACACATGACTTGTATTATGGTGTTTTGCAATGACTTAAATATGTTTTTGCCAGTTTCAAATAAAAGAAAAATACTAGAGGTACCCCATTTTGGGGTACGCCATTTGAACCCCCCTACATGTCTGGTTCACAAAAAGCAATTCATTAAAATGGGGCAATTAATTTAATGTTTGGGCTTTTGTGAACCACACAATTGGTGGTGTACAAATGGGGTATCCCAAAATGGGGTACACCAAGCAAAACTCCAAATAAAATGCTTTTAGTTTTAGCTTCCTGAAGATTTTTTTTGTTATTCATACCATAACCTATGTGGTTTTTTTCGTCCAACCTTTCAAAAAAAGGCACACTGACTCACAGAATTCAATTCTGGCCTTCCCATCAGTTTTACTTTAAAAGGAAAACAACATAAAATATAGATATGAATAACAATTTGTTTTACATGGACTTAAACACTATATTTGCAGGGACGAAAATATATAAGCCTTTTGCAATTCAGATTGCAAGATCTTAAAAAAAAGTAAACCAACGAAAAATATATTGCCTGATTTAAATATATATATTTCTTGCATTAGTTTTGCACATATCTGGACCTGGATGCCAGAGACCAAAAGTTCAGAAGGAAAGACGGCAAAGCTGCAAACCAGCTAAGAAAAGTCATGGCTGTGGAAGTCTCAAACTCCGTGCAGTGATTTTGTGAGCAGACGCCAAGATCATTTCCAATAAGCACAGTGATACCAGCCGAAGCACATGCAGCGGCAAACATTAGGGTAGAGATAAGCTACAAAATAAAAAAGAAGCATGTGCTCAATATGTATAACAATGGAGAATACAGCATGCCTAGTAGCCTAAATCAGAGCAGAACAACTGATGAAAGCATTGCAATAACCAAATTTGATTCAATGCCCCATTTTCACAAGGGGGTGTTTGGTATGACAAAATAGACGAATGGCTGGTAGAGAGAAAATAAGCAAGGGGCAATACATGTTCTCAATTAGTGCCCCCGTTTGGTAACATGGTTTTTGGCTTATCTGCCATTTTTTGATACCAAACACGTATCTTTTCACTTTATGAGTTGAATTAACATATAAAGTATACAATTATACATAAATACATTTAATGAATATACATCCAATTACATCCTCAGGTTCCAATGACGAATAATTTCAAATACAACAAATAACTATATCAAGTTATTTACATCTTCGATAACTTAGACCATCTATTGATCCCTTGACTAGAGAGCCTAAGGGAACAGGCTCAGCCTACAAGATAAAAATATCATACTCAATAGTTCTTGATACATTACAATCATCACCTTTAATGAAAATCATATCATGTCATTTATTTTTAAAATGACTATACTTATAATTGATATTCTTGACTTTCATCACGCCCAAAAATGTGGATTCGTGTGAAGTGCTCATGTGTACTTTTATTAAAACTAATAACAGTTGAATGATATACATTTACAGTCAGACTTTAAACAGAAAATCTACACCTATGCAGCAAATATATCATGGCTATCTTATACAGGTACGTAGTATATCATATACTCCATGTATGATAACTGGGAGAGATTCCCTTGAGGTATAAGAGCTGTACACCCCCTGTATAAATAATACAGATGAAACCAGCTATGTTGTAGTAAATCTTCTGTAAGGCAGCAGATCTAATTAATCATCTGTTAGGTTAACACTTATCAGTTAATAGTGTTCCAAAGGTCAATACTCAACACCTTCCAGTAAATAATTGACTAAACACCATCAGCAATCAGCAAAGGTGTTGTGTTATTAGGTTAATAAGAAAGTTTAAGTCTTTAACTTTTAGCTGAAAATCTAAGGGTTCTCATATACTACGTGGTTTTTCACTATTTTAGACAATGACATAAGAGGATATGTTTTAAGATATTTTAATATAAAAACGAGGTAAACCTGGAGCTATAAATGAAAAGTTTATCAATTCATTTGAAAACGTATTCCAAAAGGCTTATTAAATAAGCTCCACATTATCAAATAAGTCCATGAAAAAAGCTAAGCATATAGAAAAAACCATTGTTCTAAAAATCGGTCTAGGCACCCGACTAGTCCCCGCCTAGGCGCTAGGCGGTGGTCGGGCACTCTGATTTTTATCTAGGCGTTCCAACTAATTGATTTGGCGCCTAGGTGAATTAGTCGGCTGCCTAGGGCACCTAGTTGTCCGCTCAGAGCGCTTAATTGGCCGCCTAGGCGTCTAGGATCTTCGCACATTTTCTCTTTCTTTTTTATTTTAGTATTCTAAGAGATAAATGTACATGTAACAACACATATGAAGAAATCAATTAAAATTACTAGTTGTAGATTAATTAAGATAAAAGTATACACGTTTATATATAATCTTAAGTGTTATTATTATTGATAATATTTACGGAGTATTACATAATGAAGGTAAGTGAATAGGTATGATATATTATTAAATGTGACAACTCTATCATTCATGCATGTTAATGTGTATGTGTGTATATGTTTTTATATATAAAAAGTTAAAAACACAACATTACTAATCATATTTATGCAAAAAATATTGATAAAACTATAATTTCTATGTCTCCAACTAGTCCCCGCCTAGGCGCCCGCCTAGCCCCTAGGCGCTAGGCGCTGGGCTGGCGCCCGACTGACGCCTAGCGTCTTTTAGAACATTGGAAAAAACCCTTCACAAAAACCTAATAAATAACCTTTAAACTATGGAGTAGCTTATAGCATGCCAAACATAGCCTAAGTAGCAGGATAATGGAATTTCTAGGAAGTAATACTGGCTCGATAAATTATTTGGCTCACTCCTGATCAAAGCAACTGGAAACTTACCCCATCACCAACAGCAAATAAGCAAACAACACGCTGATTTTGTAAACTGCGCCCCACGAGAAGAGCATAAATATCAAGTATTCCCAGGGAAAAGCTCCACAAGATTTGCAGACCAGCAGCAGCAACAAGGTAACTGGTATAATTGATTACTTGGATATCAGAAAATGCACACTTATTTTTCATCTGGCTCTATTAGCTTAGAAAGCTATCAAATTGCCAACTTCAATGTTTATTCTATCATAATTCCTGAAACATGGTGTTACATTTATATGAAGGCCTACATAAATTTAATGACATTTGCATTCTCAGTTCATGAGAGGGTGTTCAAATTCTAAGTACCGATTAAGACACTTTACTCATATAGTCCTACAATGCAGTTCTATCATATCTTTACTGAGAATTCACAAAAGATACTGCTCCAAGTATAAAGCCAATTGTGCTTTGGTGGAACGAAGCAAGCATCATAGATCTACATAGACGTAGTGATTGATAAAATGGGCACACGAAATTAAGGAGTTACCAGAAAGCAGTGACGGACGAGAAATCGTTGGTGGATGCCATGACTGAAAGAGCGACGGAAGCAAAGACGAATTGAGAGAAACGCAGGAAGAGGCCGCTGATCGTGCCTGGCATCCCTTGGATGTCCTTCATCCTCACTCTAGGAACATTCGCCGCCTCTGTCTGAAGCGGCGGAGTTTCAACCGGATGCACCGACGCGTGGCTCACACTCATTCTTGCCTACCTTGTACCCAAGCACCACTGTAAAATACCGCAGAATCGTCTCAGTGACAGTTTATCCGATCTGCCAGACTCAACCAAGGACCGGAGTAGCTCCCGGATCGGATTCGGAAACGCCGGAAGCCTGAACTGTTGATGTTTAACGTCGCCGTAGTGATTTGATACAGGACGGTGCAGAGAGGAGATGGCCGGACCCCGTTTTGGCCGGTACGCTGTTATATTCTCGAACAAAATAAGTAAAACTGATGTTTCGGAAGCGCATACTCTATGAAGGGTACTGTATTTGGCTATTAGCAATCAACTAAAGCAGTGTTTGCGGTTGCTTTAAAAAAGTGTTTTTCAGCTTTTGGCTTAAAAAAAGTTAAAAAGAGTGTTTTCAAATGACAGCTTCTGCTTAAATTAATGACTTAAAAGCTAAAAGCTGGAAGCAGGTGGAAGGGTGCTTTAAACTGCTTTTCACTTTTTCTATTACACAAAAAGTACTTATTTTACCAAACACTACCAACTTTTACTTTTTCAGAATCACTTTTTTCTCAAACACTACCAACTTTTACTATTAATCATATTTCCCAAAATCACTTTAAAAAATCACTTTTTTAAAGTTGAAGCAATTGCAAACACTCCCTAAGTATTTGTGTATTTCGGTCATATTTATTGTATTTAATTAATTCTGTTTTAAATATCTTTGTATAATATAAAGTAACAGTCTTTGCACAACAGTTGGAGGGAAAATTCCCGCCCAAAAAGTAACAAATAAATATGTAAAGTAAAGTTGTACATTAATACTGTTAATACATCGTACATGTAAAATTTGTTGTTACCAAATTTATTTGTCACAAATGCATTCATACACTGCAAGTTTATAAAGTGCCGCCCAATGCTTTGCAAAATGAAAAGATGGTTAATAGCATAGAAGTACTTGCCATATTTAAAGTTTTAAATATTAATTTGTTTTAATGTATTAAAATCAATAATTATTTACTACTACAACACTAACATAAATAATAATAATAACAATAGTAATAATAATAATAATAATAATAATAATAATAATAATAATAATAATAATAATACTCCGTAATAAGTAAAAAAGTTACAATCTTTTGCCTCAATTTTCCTATCCAATGCATATAAAGATAAAAGGAAAGTAAATATGAGATACACATGTAACCATAGTGTCCAATTTGGTCAATTTGAAACGTTTTGTGCCCAAAATGAGATTCACCTATAATCATAGTGTGAAATTCGACCATTATCCCAAAAAGAAATTCATACATTAGGTGAATCCTGCATTTTTGTGTCCAAAAAAATATGTCTAAGTTTTGACCAAAAATAGTCACTGCAGCAATTTTAAGTGTAGTAGCTAAAACCTAAATAGTTTGCCCATATAAGTAGCAACACAAGATTTCAATTCACCACATAAAGAGCCGATTGGTAACACTGAAATTGGCTGAATCGACAGATTCTGCTGAATTTTCTAAATTTCTGCCTGAAGTGCCTCATTCCGCTTCGTTATGAAAAAATAATACATAAAAGATTTTTTTTAATAAATTACAGTATATAATATATGATAAATAGACAAAAAATGGTTTTATACAGTAATTTCAGCCAAATCAGTCGGTTAACAGTGCATCCAGACGAAATCAAGCCCGAATCTATTCAATGGAAAGTTTATATTTGTATAATTCAGATTTTGCATATTACACAATATAAGAAATCGAAAAATATCGATGCCTTGGATGATCCTACTGAATCATCAAGTAATTCTAATTCATTTTAAATTTATTATTTGTAATGCAATTCCATGATTAAATTATCATATTTTTGGAACTAAGTTTACATTAATTTTTCTTACAAAAAATAGGATACATGACTGTTAAAAGAACTCTAATTTCATAAATCGGACAACTTTTACAAGAAGCATGTGCTTATGTTATCAGCATTTTGTTGGTTGCTATGAATAGATCGATGTCGCAAAAGCATACTATGCACCAATATTGTCTTAGTTTTTTTGGAAATAACTACAAGCGGGAACCTACAACTAAAAAGTGTGTAGAATTTTTTTAATTTTTTTTCGCACGATCTAATTTTTCTTTTCTTATAAGCTTATATTATATAATCAAATTTACAACATATAAATTCTACTATGTTTTTTATTTGGAAAAATAACACATCACATATAAATACCATCATTATAAAGCATAATATTAAAAAAAAAATGTTACTATATTCTAAATATATCCCGTGCATCGCACGAGTATTGAGTCTAGTACATAAACAAAATAAGAGTTCTTATCACCCATAGTCCTCTAACTATTTTGTTCATGACATTCTTAATATAGAACTTTGAAATTTTCATTTCTAGTCCTATTATTGTGTGAGAAACAATTTTCTTACTCATCGTCATTTGAACTTTCCATATTTAGTCCTTCATTTTTTGGGAAAATGGAAACTAATAATCCAACCTTTTGGCGGTATTCTTACAATAGTCTCACCTTTTCATTATTCAGGAATAATCCAACCTTCGCACCTCATCTTCATTCAATGGTCTCTGACCGGTTGATGACCCGCTGTTTCAAGTTATTTTCTTATCTTTGTAAAATTTTATACAATAAATCCCACTTTATGGTCACATAATGTTTTGCAAAGATAAGAAAATAACTTGGAATAACAAATCATCAACCGGTTAGAGACCATTGAATGAAGATGGGGTGCAAAAGTTGGATTATTCCTGAATAATGAAAAGGTGGGACTATTGTAAGAAGACCGGTAAAAGGTTGGATCATTAGTTTCCATATTTAGTCCTTCATTTTTTGGGAAAATGGAAACTAATAATCCAACCTTTTGGCGGTATTCTTACAATAGTCCCACATTTTCATTATTCAGGAATAATCCAACCTTTGCACCCCATCTTCATTCAATGGTCTCTGACCGGTTCATGATCTGCTATTCCAAGTTATTTTCTTATCTTTGTAAAATTTTATACTCCCTCCGTCCCATAATGAACTTCTCAGTTTGACTTCACACAAATTAAGAAAATAAATTTGACTTTACTGTTGAGTGCACTGTTTTGCACTGTTTAAACACCGGTTGACACTGTTTGACACTGTTTAGCACTTTTTTGATGTAGATTATTTGCCAAATAAGGAAAGTTTTGAAGTGTGAAATTAATTTCGGGACTGCCCGAAAAGGAAAGTGAGAAGTTAATTTTGGGACGGAGGGGAGTACCATAAATCTCACCTTATGTTCACATAATGTTTTGCAAAGATAAGAAAATAACTTGGAAATAACAGATCATCAATCGGTTAGGGACCATTCAATGAAGATGGGGTGCACAGGTTGGATTATTCCTGAATAATGAAAAAGTGAGACTATTGTAAGAAGACCGCTAAAAGGTTAGATCATTAGTTTCCATTTTCTCTCAATTTTTTTAAGGTGACGTTTTTTTTATCTTTCAACTACTAACATGGTGACATTGTTTAATCTTTCGCATATAGTGGAAAAATCAATGTAAGAATTAAAGGCGTGAATTTGATCAAACTCAAGGGATTAAATGTGGTAAATTTCAAACTCGAAGATTAAGGTCACGTTTACCTCACATATTACTACACAGTGCTTATTAGGACTCGCGTTAATAAGCGACGCATAAAATAAACAGTGTGGTAAACTCATGTTTACTTCAAATGATTTAAAACATTGTTTAACATTAAAATATCCACAATAACCTTATACATACACAGACACATAAATATTCATGAACACAAGTATATAATATAATACTTGGGGGCCACCTCGTACCTGTAACCCCTACCCCCCGCTACCCTATACATGTACCCCTACCCCAGTCCCTACCCTACATCCCACCTCTTGACCCCTACCCCTACCACTACCCCTACCATGACCTTACCCTCGACCCCTACTCCCCTACCAACTCGCATACCCATCTAACCCCTACCCTACCCTACTTGTTAGGGGGTGGGGCCAGGGTCGAGGTAGAGACAGGTGGTAGGGGGTAAAAGGGTCGGGGGTCGGGGTAGGGTAAGGTAGGGTGAGGGGTATGGGTGGGGAGGGATATGGTTAGGGGGTAGGAGGGGCTATGTAGTGGGTGGTAGGGGTGGGGTCGAGGTCGGGGTGGGATTGAGGTAGGGGCAGGTGGTAGTGGTAGTGGTTAAGGGGGTAGGATCGGGGTAGGATAAGGGGTACGGGTGGGGGTGGGGTCGAGGTAGGGGCAGGTGGTAGGGGTGAAGGGGTAGGGTCATGGTACGATAAGGAAATTAAGGAGTATGGGGTCGGGTCGGGTGGGGTAGGGGTACGGTAGGGTAGCGGGGGTGGGTAGAGGGTAATAATAGGGTAATGAAAGTGGCAAGGGTAAGGATAAGTTCGGATACTGAAAAAGCTTAAATTGTCGCTTAATTAATACATGGGAGAGTGATATGCTTATGAGTAAATGACACTTTAAGTAGCTTTTTCAGTTAGTAAGCAGTTTTTTAAATGTTTACTTCACCTGTCTTACTAACCTAATTGCGGCTTTAGCTGCGAAGTAAACACGTCCTAAAGTATATGATCACAATATTAAAAAGATTAATAGTTGATAAGATCAAAATCGAGTAACAAAAATTGACACAATAGTTGAAGACTCAATGGATTAAGGATGTTTTCTTTTGGACTGTTTTCAGTCCCAGACCAGACCAGACCAGACCAGACCAGACCAGACTTAAACAAACCAGACCAGACCAGACCAGACCAGACCAGACTTAAACAGACCAGACCAGACCAGACTTCCGTAGTTATAAAATACATAGAGACCAGACGTTTACCAGACCAGACCAGACCAGTTCAGACCAGACCAGACCAGACCAGACCAGACTTAAACAGACCAGACCAGACCAGACCAGACCAGCAAATTTCAGTCCAAAAGAAAACATCCTAAAAGTAACATATAACTCAACAACATAAACTATGTATCGCAATGGAGTAACATTTACAAAGCATTTTTCCTTTCCTTTTGCAATTCTTAGGAATATTTTCAAAACATGAGTAAAAACGTTTTAAAATTTCAATAAGGAGTGCTATTTTTTTTCTAAATAGAAGTATTTACTGGGAAGCTTGAAAAATAATACTTCGTATCATATTTAAAGCATGATAATGTAAAAACATGGCAATAATTATCCTATTTATTTAGGAATAAAAACATAATAACAATATTTTGAAATTTACAAATGTTTCTATTTGAATAATTTCTTTAATTTTTA